CTGATTGGTTGGAGATTCATTTCTTTGAACTTTCGGTAGTTGGTGCTGCTGTTGACCCATTATGGATGAGTGAGTTGGACTGCAGGACTGCAAATAGGTTGACTCTTGGGTAACGGATGGAACTGGAGAAGAGGGACTGTTGGGATAGAGTGTTTGTTGGTAACCAAGGGAACAGCTACTGCTCAGATGTTGACTCACCTGCGGCTGCAGCATGATGTGAGATGATTGATCGGGAGAGCTTGGGTGTACAACTATAGACCTTGGCACTTCCTGGATAGTGGGGACACCTCCAGCGGGCTGTTGAAGTCCTAGGTGGCTGTGGCCTGGATTCGTGATGCACTTGTTGTAAGCAGAAGAGGAAAGGTCATGAAGCTTGGGGCTTGAGTTGGGAGAGGATGACATCACAGTGTTTCTCTGCTGACAGGAAGTGAAGCCAGCCACAAGGCAAGAACCAGGATCAGGAGGCATCATGATCTGCTGACTGTAGTATGGCTTAGAGAGAGGGTTTAATCCTGGGTTCATTGGTCCACAGGTTTGAGCAGGCTCATAGTCATCGGTGGGTTCTGTTTTTATAATTGGAACTGTTAAAAGAGAGAAAAAAAAAGTTATATAAACATGAGTTGCATATTGGTACGACCAAGTTGGCTTGTGGCTAGGATACCCTTTGCAAAACAAACAATATTCTGAATAAGTCTCTGTGTGTCTTTTGCCTCATTCTCCCACCCAATAAAAAAAAAAAGAGGGAGGGAGGGAGGAGAGAGAGAGAGAGAGAGAGAGAGAGAGAGAGAGAGAGAGAGAGAGAATGAGTCATCAGCACAAGAAAGTCACAGCTGGTTCTAATATTGAAAAGGACTATTTTCTTTGGAATCTCCTCCAGCACTAATGTGCTATAAAAATCTATTTGCAAATAGCTACACTGCAGTAGAAGCTCTGGACCCAAGGGCTCCATGGATTTGTAGTAATCAAAGCAAAAATTTTAACTTGGATGTACTACTGCATTTCTCCAGCTACTGATGGTCCATTTGATAAATGTCTGCACATTTGGTAAACTTGAGCATAATAAGATGGCTTTCAGAGGTCAGTAAAAATACAGTTGCAAAGATATTTGTCATTACAACTAGCTATGCAAAAGCATTTAATCGATATGATTTTTTCAAAAGGAGACATGAAAACTTTAAAACATTTTTATCTCTCTCCTCTGCTCCTCCCCACACTTTCACCTTCCAATAGTTTTCCAAAAGTGTATTCCATTGGAACAGACAGTGTCTGGACTATCAAGTGGCCAGTGTATTAGTGATAAGGATAGTTCACCTTGGCTTTTTCTACCTGCCCATTTTCCTGCCCAAGACTGACAATAGAGAAGCACTGTACCAGAAGAGACATAATTTCTAAAGCCATGTAAATGGTGTAAGGGGTATACTTGAAGGTCTAGGGTATAATGGCCACACAATGATTATGAGACTATATTCAACTAACGCTCATATTCTTTAACCATATACTTAACTGCTGAATCATCACATTTGGATTAGGTGTCAAACTTGAACCCCCAGGTTACAACAAGTATTTATATATAAGATACTTATGGGTAATATAACCTCATTGGATAAATGTTTTGAGGTAGAAACGAGGGAGAAGCGCCCAGCAGAAGTGGAATGAGGTTGCATACATGAATCTATGAGTATTAGAGACTTTGCCACTTCAAGAAGGACTTAGAATATACACAAATATTATCTCCTTTTTGCAAAGTACACTTCTCAATTTTCATTCTCCTAGTTATAATTAAATATATATATATATATGCAGAAGAGGGAAGCAAGGGAAAAATAAAGGATGAATATAAATGTGTGTAGCATGGTCCTGTAAGAACAGTATCAAGTGTGCTCAAGTGAGAATGAGTTGAGGCTGACAAGGTAAGCAAAAGACAGTAAAAAAGGGGGTTTAAAGGCTATATTGAGGAAAGTGGATGATTAAAGAAAGTATATGAGTGCTATTCTGAGTGGATGATACAATGGTGATAGAGAAGACAGAGCTGTTCAACTAGTATTTTGCTTTTGCGGGTTTTCCTTTCTGCCAAGGAGATATCTTTGGATCAGAAAAGATGGAATAAAATTGGCAAAAATGAAGTTGAAAACCAAGTAAACAGAGGGACACTAAGAAAGAAAATATTTGTAAAGTGCTTAGCATGGTGCCTGGCACACAGCAGGCATTTAATAAATGCTTGTTTTCCTTCCTTCCTTCCTTCACTTGAGTAGTTCAGGTCATCAGATCCATAAATGCTTCATCCTAGAGTACTGTAAGGACTGGTAGATATTTTAGTTTTGACTCTGTATCCCCAGTGCCCACCATAAAACTTTGTGCATAATAGTGCTTATCAAATGCTTATTGAATTGAAATGAATGTAATTATTGATTTGCTAACAAAAATTTCTGGAAGACTGTGGAGACAAAGAGAGGATGCTACAAGATTGGGGGAAATGAGTGTTTGCCTCATTTTTTTAAAGGTGAAGAATGGCATCTACAAACTATAGGCAAGTGAACTAGACTTAATTCTTGGGGAAATTACATTAAGTATTATTAAAGAGACGGCATACAAACATCTAGAAAAGGAAGTGGTCAGTTCCCATAAAGATTTAGTGAGTTCATCAAGGAGAGGTAATAACAGAGTAACCTCATTTTAATTTTTGAAAGGGTTGCTAGATTTATAGGTCAGGAGAGTACTGCAGACATAATTTAGTTATATTAGAGCAAAGCATTTGATGAAGTCTGAAGCTATTCCTATGAACAAAATGTAGAGATGAAGGTTGGTCAAGAGCATACACTTATGGTTCAATGTCAGCTTGGAAGGACATTTCTGGTGGGATTGCTCCTGGGATCTGAGCTTGACCCTACAGTGTTGAAAGCTTTTACCAGTGACTTGGATAAAAGTATAGATAACATGCATATCAAGATCACAGATAACATAAAATGAGACAGGATAGCTAACATTTATAGCATAGTCAGGATCCAGAAAGATATCATCAGGTTAGAATATTGGGTTGAATCTGAGGATGAACTCTAACAGGGATTAATGTAAAATGTTATACTTGGGTTCAAGGAGACAACCTCATGAGTAGAAAACAGGGAACGTATGGCTGCAGAAGTTTGTCTGAAAAAGATCAGGGAGTTTTAGTACCCCAGAAGCACAGTAAGAGTCAATAATATTATATGGCAGTCAAAACAAAACAAAACAAAGGAATCGTGACAGTGCTAAAAGATACATATTGTTTAATATTAGGGAAGTTAATAGTCCTGATGTACTCTGCCCTTGTCAGACCATGCCTGGGATACAGTGGTCGATTCTGAGTGCCACATTTTAGGAACAATATTGAGAAACTGGAGAATGTCTACAGGAGGGCAACCAGGATAGTAAGGACACTCCATATCATCCCATATGAGGATCAGTTGAAGGATCTGAGAATTTTCAGTTAAAAAAAAAAAAAGACTAAGGGGCAGCTAGGTGGCACAGTACATTGAGCTCTGGCCTTGGAGTCAGAAGTTCAAATCTGACCTCAGACACTTGACACTTACTAGCTGTGTGACCCTGGGCAAGTCACTTAACCTTGATTGCCCCACCAAAAAACAAAAACAAAAACAAAAAACAACACTAGTTAAGAGTGGAGAAAAGCCAGAATAGCTTGTCTTCAAACATTTGAACGTGCTTTCATACAGGAAGAGAGAGGAGACCCAATTTACTTGGTCCCAATGGGGCTGAACCAGAAGTGATGTGAGAGTAGCAGAGACGCAAACTTGGGTTTCATGTAAAGAAACATTACCCGAAAGCAGATGTCTTCCAACAAAGACTGGAGTGGCACTTCAGTTAAGTTGTAGAAGGGACCCTTATTTAGCTGTAGGTTGGACTATATGGCCTCTGAGTGTCTTTCCAACACAGATTCTGTCATTTTTTTGTCTGTTCCCTTGTTCATTCCATGCACATCTCTACCCCTCACTCCCTGCCACCACTGCCTTTTATGCATCTTTCACTAGAGCTAGGTACAGTCTTCTTCAAATTACTAGTTCAAACACACACACACACGCACACATACACAGACACACTTCCATTTGTAACAGTGATGATAAAGTGCTACTTGAGATGAATGGATCATGTATAATGAGTTGTCATCAAATTCCTTCTGACCGTATTTTCACTTGCTCACATATTGTGCACTGATGCATTTTTACAACCCCCCTCACCTATAATAAAGGAGATTCCAGTTCAAGAACAGATTTGTGAACCTATTTTTATACTCTTTTAATTATATACAAAGACGACTTTGTGCACAATCATAGGTACAAATACTACAGAGGTAGTAAGCAGGACAAAAGTCACATAGCTAGGTAAGATAAAAGGCACAAATGTGTTAATAAAATGTTTTAACAGAACTCGAGAGGGTAGGCATTTTCATATGTTTCATATTATAGCCCAGTACATTATCACAAAGTTGTTAACTGGATGTAAACGAACATCCTTGAAGAGCAACTTGTCCTGATGCTTGTGAACCCCAGAAACACCCAGGCTAAACAATGCTAAGGTGTTCTTCTTTAGCAGCTACAGTGCTACCTATCAAAGGCCTGCACTTCACTAGAGAGGAAAGACTTCTGCAAAGATAACCTGCTGGATTTTCATCCTTTGAGTCTTAGAACTGAAATTTCTCCCTATGACAAACTAACTCTCCCTCTCTCTCTCTCTCTCAATATCTCTATCTTTCTCTCTCTCTCTCTCCATATATATTATATACTCACATATATAAGTACGTATTATGCATAGTATATATGTATATATACACACACATACCATTTGTACTTATATATATACTATATATAGACACATATATGTATTACATATGCATATATATGTACATTTCTTTAAAAATTTCCTTCAGCACATTAAAATCAAAGGCAAAGTGAATTTAGGAGTTATTGAATTACTGGGGGCTGCCATACTTAGCAAGAAGAAAAACAGTCACAAGGCAGTTGAAAAATGTGTTACAAACACACACACACACACATACATACATACACATGCATTCATACACACAAAAGAGTGTATTGATCTGCAGGCCTCATATATGACCCTTTAGCAATTAGTATTGTTTTTTTATAGAAACAAGGGATACCTGACTGAGGTGGGGGCAAGTTTAGCATCACTTTTCATTCCAGAGTGCATTTGGTGGCTTGTAAACACATCTCCTTTTAATAATTATTAAAGGATTCCTTCAGTAAATCGAGACAGAATATTGGGGACGGGTCAGCGTTAAAGAAGGGATCAAGTGAACTGCCTGAGGCGTTATTAGCCCACATCTTTGGTGACGTATAATTGGTCATGTACGTAGTTGACTAAACAGAAAAACAAGTGAGGCAGTTCTGCTTCTGTGTCCACCTAGCACCTACATCCCTTCTGTTATACTAAGGGTCAAAACTAAGCTGTTCAAGTAGGGCACAACCCTATCTTATTTCTGCCTCCATCTTGTCTATTCCTCTTCACCCTCTTCACCTCTGCCTCTCCCCTGCCCTGTACATTAATGTTTCATTTGCTAAGGAATACT